GAGAGAGAGAGAGAGAGTTTTATTTTGAATTAAAGTTGTAGTTTTTGACACCTTTAAGTGTTCTAGCTGGTATGAATAAAAGAAAGTAAGAAAATTTTTAATTATATATATTTGGCTAGATCACATTGTCCACCTTTCAACTATTTGGTTTTTCACCTTTTTTTATCAATCAAGTTCTATATTAACTTCAAGATCGTTTGAGGGGTTGGAAACTTGACTCAAGAGCTCAAGGAGAGAGAGCTTGTTAGAGAGAGGAAACCCTAACTTGAGCTTTGGTTTTCTAACCTAGACAGAGAAAATCCAACCCCAATCAATCCGGAATGTAGCCTTAGCTAGCAAAGCTTCAACCTAGCCCAAAGCCCTTGCGAAAGAAGAGCTAACCCCATTACATAAGGGTACTTGGTTTGTGGAGACCATGCCACACTCCTCAAGACTACTCCCAATGCCACACTCCTCCTCAAGACTAATATCCTTGAACACATCAAAGGGCAGACTCATATTCCTTTGGGGGATCTACTGTGTTTCTTTATGTTCTCACCACAAGTCACCTTCCAAAGTGCGCAGGGGCCTCTCGCTAGTAACATAGAAGCAGGAGGTTTGAGGAGGGGGTGTACCATAACCTGGCCTGAGGAGCTCAAGAACCCATTTGTAAGAAATATATAAGAAATTTCTTTTGATATATTTTGAGTTGTTGACTTGTTGTTCTTCTCATGTTGTGGATCGTCTTCCTTTGGTTTTTGGAGTCATGTATTCTTCAAAAATCATATACACACCACCGGAAAAGAATACACGAACACATTATTAAATAGGACTGTCAAATTGCTGGTTCATGCATAAACAAGGTCAAATTTTTGGTACTAGTAATTGTTTTTAGTTGATTCTTTGCACAATAATTTCTCAACATGTTCTTTATGGGTCCTTGGGGTAATTTGTGCATGTGATAGTTATGCACATCTAGTATTTGGGACTTGTTACTGCATATTTGTTAACTGATCACATGGAAGTGGCTTCTTGCAGTCCATCCATGGAGTTAGGTCTTATATCTTCAAATTCCACTAGTTCGATCATAATTATCAAATTTTATTTGTATGTTGTTGAATTTGTGCATTTCGTTCTTATTTGTTGAACTTGTTCATAGCTTTTCATACCAAGTAGAAATCATTATTTTGTCTGCCCTATTGGTTGTTTTCTACATAGTTTGAGGTTTAATACATGACTTCCTCTGCCAGTCAGTCATATTGCAGCCGCTTGGAAAAGATGGAATGATGATTGTAGGGGGAGACAAAATTAGGGGTTTTACTGTTGACAATCAGGTATGTTTTCAAACTGGCGAGCTTTCCTAAGTTGTGTATGTTATAAATAATTTTATCTGGCAAAGACTAGGGAAGACAATCAACTTCTGCAATTTAGAGGTTTTTAGTGGTCTTATGTAAGAAGCAAATTTTATGATTTGCAGTAGTAAGCAGTCTCTCAGACCTGGTCACTACGACCCCCTTTTTAAGGAGGCACCCTTTCTCCCGAAGTTACAGGGTATTCTTTCGATTTCCTTAAGGAGAGCTGTCTTGTACAACTTTTCGTTGATACTAGGCTAACTTGATTTTGATGGTACTTAAAATGTGTTTTGAACAATTTAATTTTAAGTTTCTTATTTTGGTGGAAAACATTCTGGATTTTTGAATTCCATTCTTTCATTAATAGCCAGCATCTGTTATTCCATTCTTTCAAT